CCCCCCCCCCGCTTTCTTTCCCCCTCTTCTTTTCCTACACGGGAGGTCAGCAGTGGAGCACACAGACCCGGTAGCGCGTTCTCCGCACCCCCCTCCCCGCCCCACACGCGTTTCCTTGTGTCCCCGCAGGGCGGCGGCAGGATGGAGGCGCGCTTCACGCGCGGAAAGTCGGCGCTGCTGGAGCGCGCGCTGGTGCGGCCGCGCACCGAGGTGAGCCTGAGCGCCTTCGCGCTGCTCTTCTCCGAGCTGGTACAGCACTGCCAGAGCCGCGTCTTCTCCGTGGCCGAGCTGCAGGCGCGCCTGGCCGCGCTGGGCCGCCAGGTGGGCGCGCGCGTTCTGGACGCCCTGGTGGCCCGCGAAAAGGGTGCCCGGCGCGAGACCAAGGTGCTGGGCGCCCTGCTCTTCGTCAAGGGCGCCGTGTGGAAGGCGCTCTTCGGCAAGGAGGCCGACAAGCTGGAGCAGGCCAACGACGACGCGCGAACCTTCTACATCATAGAGCGGGAGCCGCTCATCAACACCTACATCTCCGTGCCCAAGGAGAACAGCACGCTCAACTGCGCCAGCTTCACGGCGGGCATCGTGGAGGCGGTGCTCACGCACAGCGGCTTTCCTGCTAAGGTCACGGCGCACTGGCACAAGGGCACCACGCTCATGATCAAGTTTGAGGAGGCCGTCATAGCCCGAGACCGGGCGCTGGAGGGCCGCTGACCCCGCGGGAGATAAAGATGCAGAGAGCCCCCTTCCCAAGTGTGTCTTGTGTCTTGTGGGGGGGGCCTCAGAGATCCGCTCAACGCCTCGACCCAGGTCCCTGCCTCAGGCTGGTGAGGGAGGCCGGGACCCGAGCCTGTTTGGGATGCCATGGGGCTGCGGTGGGGGTGGGCTTCCAGACAGGGCCGGGGGAAGGCGGGGGGCAGTGTGGAGAGAAGTCTGCACAAGGAGCTGCTGGCGTGGCTGGAGGCAGGAGGATGCCGACCCTCTCTGGAATCACGATTGGAGGCCAGGCCGGAGAGGTGGGGGGTGAGGGATCAGGCGGAGAGAGGCTCCATCAGGCGGGCACACTACTTCTGTAAAGGACCAGATAGGAGTTTATGCCTAGAAGTCTCTGTCCAGCCACTCTGCTCCGCGGTGTAGACGGCAGCATGCCAAGGATTGGGTGCGGCTGTGTGTCTAGAAAACAGGCGGAGGGGGATCCTTTGCTGACCCCTGCTTTAGAGCCTTGCCTCTCAAAGTGTGGTCCACGACAGGCAGCCTCCGTATCTCCTGGGAGGTTGTCAGAAATGCGGACTCTCGGGCCCCCCCGAAGGCCCACTAACAGCGTGTCATTCGGCAAGATCCCCAGGGGATTCCTGTGTACCCTATTTTGAGAAGCGGTGCTCTAGGGCACAGAGTATGTTCCAACTGGGGTGGCCGGGCCCCACCCCCAGAGTTTCCGATTCTGCAGATCTGAGTGGGCTGAGGATTTGCATTTCTGGAAGTTCCCAGGAACTGGCTGATGCTCCGGGGGGCCGCATTTTAAGAATCCCCCCCCCTGGAGACCTGGGGAAATGGATGGGCTCACTTCCGAAATCTCGGGGCGCCTACCGTATTTTGAAGTTGATATTGATGATACGTGAACATATCCTTGTTGTGTTTTTTTACAATTTTACTTTTAAGTAACGTCTACACCCAACACGGGGCTCGAGCTCACAACCCTGATCAGGATCAAGAGTTGTGTGCCGTACCTACTGAGCTAGCCAGGTGCCCCGTGTGTGCCTTGTTTAAAAAGTAAAATCTGACGCCTGAGGCAACCCTGCCTTTCCCTTCTGCCCACCACCCTCGCGGGGTTCCTGAGAGCTCCTCCTCCCCAGGGTCCATCCTGCCAGACTTTTGGGGGGAAACTTTTCAAATGTCTCTTCCTCCCTCCCCCTCCCCCTTCCCCTGGATTTCAATGAGCCTGATGTGAAGGAGAACTTGGCGGTGCCCTGGGCTGGGTCCCCTCACTGTTGATGGAGGGTTTAAGGGCGGGACGGATGCAGCTTTTCCATTGCGTTTTTGGGGTGCATGGTGGAGGCGGGCATGGGGGTGGGGCCGAGGTGCCGGGTTTGGTCAGGGGGCAGTTTCGGGAATTCCAACCAGGGTGATGGGGGGGGGTGTCGGCACATCTTGAAGATACGTGGTCCATAAATGGAACTTGGGGGTGCCTCCCGTGTATAGCACAGGGATGGCCATGGTCAGGAAATAGCTGTTGCCTGGGGAAGGGGGTGGTCACAGTGGCAGTCTGAATCGGGGGCGAGGGGTCAATGTCTAGGAAGCCAAGGAGGATCGGAGGTCTGGAGTCCAGGAGTCAGCACGGTGGCGGGTGCCGCCCGTCTGGGTGGAGTGGGCAGGGCACCTGGTGCCTGGGAAGCCGGATTTTCAGGGGGAGCTGGGGGAGGCTTTGGGCTTAGCAGCCTCAGGTCCCCCGGGGACCCTGGCGAGCTTGGCCTGCAGGGCCTGCTGGGTGAGGGGCAGGTTGCGGGAGGCAGGGATGGCCCAGCCTGCTGCATCCAGAGGCCTGGCAGTGAAGTTTGCCAGAGAGAAAGGGCAGGGGGAGGAAGAGATGGGCTGGTCCCCGAGGGCGGGATGCGGGGCGGGGGTTTGTGAGCTGCAAATAAAGTCCCTGCTGAAGTCCTGAAGCCCCCAGACAGGTTGGCGGGGGCCCGGGGGTGGGGGGTGAGGAGGAGGAACCCAGCACCAGCCCTCGGTGAGCCAGCCAGACATGAGGCTCCCCCTCGTTGAACAGACCACAAAGTGGGTTCTGTGAGAAGAGGTCATTCGCCCATGGACACACATTGATTATCCAACAGCTATTTATTGAACACCTACTCTGTGTCAGCTGCTGAGGTCACAGCTGAGAGCAAGACCAATGCACCTGCCCTCCTGAAGCTCACATGCTAGCCCTGGGCGTGGGGGGGGGGGGGGCGGCGAGCACACACAGATCCGTGAGTGACAAGTTTGGTTGGAAGGGGAAACGTTCTGTGGTGAGAAAGTAGACCAAAGGTAAAAGGGAGCCGGAGTCAGGGGTGTCATTTTAAACAGGAAGGACGGGGAGCCCAGGATAGCCCTCACTGAAGAGCTAGCAGGGGAGGGGGCATGTGCAAAGGCCCTGAGGCAAAGAGCAAGCCTATATGTGTAAGGGCCAGTGAGGAGGCTGGTGTAGGTGCTGGGGTTGGGGGAGGGCAGAGAGGAGGTGAAGCTGGGGAGACAAGGCAAGCTGCAGGGATTCTGCAATTGCAAAGCACCCTGTAAGACTGTGGGGTTTTTTTCCTCTGAGCCAGAAGGAAACTTCTGGAAGGTCTGGGACAGTGAAGAAGAGATTGAGGCAAGCTAGGGCAGGGGCTATACCGAGGCGGTTGCTGGAGGGGTGAGGAGTGGACAGATTCTGCACATGGCTTTCCCTGAGGATTTGGAGGGTTCAGTGAGGGAAACCGGTGATGACTGTCATCCCAACACGGGCCTGGGTGACCTGCAGAGTGGGGCTGGGAGTCCCCTTTGCGGAGCTCAGGTAGGTAGTTGTGCTCTGGCCTGGGGGCTGGGAGGGGTCTGGAGGAGGCAGACATTGGTGGTGGTGGGGGGGAGGGACAATGGCTTGGTAACAGGTGACCTAGGACGAGCTCTATCCCTGCCCTATCCCGGCCCCAGGTCTCCTGGGTGCCACTGTAGGGCCCTCCCCAGCCCCCTAGGCCCGGGCCCCTGACTCCCAGGTCCAAGGTGGTCCAGTGTGGTCCTCCCCCCACGGAGTCCCCTCCAGGAAGCCTGAGAATCACGTGAGCCATCTGGTTCTTCCTTTTCTTTTTTTAATGTTGATTTATTTTTAGAAAGAGAGAGAGTGCAAGCAGGGGAGGGGCAGAGAGAGAGAGGCAGAGACAGAATGGGAAGCAGGCTCCAGGCTCCGCCCTCAGCACAAACCGATGCGGGGCTTGAACCTGCGAACTGTGAGGTCATGAGCTGAGCCGAAGCCAGACCCTTCACCAAGTGAGCCACCCAGGCGCCCCTGGTTCTTTCTTCCTACACCGGGAGCTGGGGGTGGGGTGGGTAGGCGAGGAGTTTAACGAGGGGTGTCCTGCGATCCTGGCCCGCCTCCCTCCTCAGCCTCTGGTGCAGGGCTGGTGCCACCTGTTTCTTTCAAAACCTGTGTCCGAGTCACACCAGCACCTTTGGACCTGGGTGGCCAGGCCACCCCTGGGCCTGCTAGCATTTACTGAGTGCCTTCTGTATACCAGGTCCATTCAGCACTTCCCATGCGTGAGCTTGTGCCCTCCTGCCAGCAGCCTGGGGGGGGGGGGGGAACCAGCCCACTGCCCTGCCCTGCGGTACTTTTAGGTGTCTAGGGTGTTCTCTGCTCCATTAGATCCCAGAATCTTTGTCTCCAGCCCTGTCTAGTACATGCTTCTTGTAATAAAGTAGAGGGGAAACGGTGGAGAGATACAATTGCTGCTTCAGCTGTTCTGGATACTCAGACGGACTCAGGCACCAGGTTCTGAACTCCCGGCTCCCACGCCTGGAGGCTTCTGAGATGGGGCCATCTTCACCCCCATTTTATTGACATGGGCTGGGGGCAAGGGGGCTGGCTGCCTGAGCCGGGGACCTCTCCCAGGGGTGCTAAGACACGGGGACTGCATCTGGGGAGGCCAGGGGTGGGGCGGGGGTGTGGTCCTGACTCCAGCAGACGGCGGGGCGGCCCGACAGAGGAAGCTCACAGGGGTCTGAGGCTCTCTGGAAAGTTCTCGAGGTGGGTACTCTGAGCCCTTGAAGGCAGGGACATGGTGACAGCCTGCTGGGCTGAGGAGTAAGGGACAGGCCCTCAGGGGCATTGGCAGGAGCCGGGGAGGGGTCAACAGCCCTTCTTCCTCTTGGGCGGGAGAAAGGGTTGCTGGGGCCTTAGCCACAAAACAGGCATCCAGGCCGCGGCTGCGGGCCCCGCCGTGGGCCCGGCTGCTCCTGTGTCTGAGCTGGGGGAGCAACGCAGGGGTGCACCTGGCAGGTGGGCAGGGGGCCATGAGGGTCTGCGTCTCCAAGGACCTCCCGGGGAACCCCAGGGAGGGGGCCGAGGTGGCGGGGGAGGGGCGGTCAGCATGTGGCCAGCCGGTCACACACCCAGCCGTCCAGCCGGCTGCCACAGAAGGCATCGTTCCACTGCCCGGAGCCCTGCATCATCACACAGTCCTCGCCCTGGCCCTGGTTGTTGGGTTCCCCCGGCCGCCAGTTGCTGGAGCAGAAGACTTCAGGTCAGAGGATGGGCTCCGGGGCAGGAGCCCTACTGCCTTCGGCCTAGACGCATCCCTCGGGGTCTGGGCCCCTCCCCCCATCCCTGGATCCCTACTCCCCACGCCCTGCAAGCCCAGGGACACCGGCTGCCCACATCCCCTCCCCTCAACCCGACCACTGCGGACAGGCACCCCCCCCCCCCCCGCCCGCCCCCGTCGGAGTCTGGGCCTCACCTGTAGTTCAGGGGGTTCTCATCCATCCAGATAAACTCCCCCTCTATGTCCAGGTCCCGAAGGCCAATCCAGGTGCCCTTCCTGTTGGCGCGTTTGGCCAGGAAGTCCTGGGGGGCAGGACGGGGCTGCAGGGGCTGCGGGGTTGTGCCTGGGGTCCCCACCCCCACCGCACAAGAGGTCGCGGTGGGATCCCCGCCCCCTGCTGGCCACGCCCTCCGCAGAGCCCCGCCCACCTGCTCCTCTTGGCTGTGGATGCTGACCAGCCGCCCTTGCAGTTTGCTGCAGGCAAACCGGGCCTGGATCCACTTCTTGGCGCCCTCGCCGAAGTAGTAGCACTTCCTCTGGAAGTTGACCCAGTTCTCGGGGCACGTGTTACACGTGGAGCCTGGGGCGGAGGAGAGGCTCAGGGGTGCGGCCGTGGTGGGCGCCGTGGCGGGCGCCGTGGCGGGCTCTGTGGCCGGCGCTGTGGCGGACGTGGCCGGCGCCGTGGCCGGCGCTGTGGCCAGCGCGGTGGCGGACGTTGTGGCCGGCGCCGTGGCGGGCTCTGTGGCCGGCGCCATGGCGGACGTTGTGGCCGGCGCCGTGGCGGGCGCTGTGGCCGGCACGGTGGCGGACGTTGTGGCCAGCGCTGTGGCTGGCACCGTGGGGACAATAGGCAGGGTGGGTGGCAGCGTCTCTCCTGGGGTCACTCTTGGGGTCCGGGCTGAAAGCAGACCAACTTGCAGGTTGCCCCTCTTCCCGGCCAGACCAGCCGCCCGGCGGGAGCACCTCGGCTGCCCGCACCATTGCCACAAATATCGCCCCTCCCCGCCCTCCCCCCCCAAGAATGCCTGTCACCGACGCCGTCATCGTAGACACCTCTTGGCCAGCAGCTCTTTGGCCTCTGCCAGCATCAGCCCCACAAAGAGACCCGCGGCATCACCACGTCACCAGCACTGTGGCCCGTGGCCCCTCGACCACCAACGGCATCACCACAAACACGTTCACGGTCAGAAGCGTGTCAACCTCCAACACCATGGCCACCAACCCCACCGCTCTCAGCGGCACCTTCAGTCCCACCGCCATCACCGGGGGGACCCAGGATCGCCAGCAACCTCTCTCCAGTGCCACCAGCACGGCCAACACCGTCTTCACACCAGCCACGGCTTAATCACCAGGGCCGACCTGCCAAGGCCACGGTTGCCAGCATCATGGTCCCCTTGTATTGTCCCCACCAACAGCTCCAGTGACAACCCTGGTGGCCATTGCTACCGGCACCCTCAAAACCAGCCTTGTTGACCAGATTTGGGGAGAATGCAACGATTTCTGTCTAGTTGGAGGGACCGAGCAGGAGAGCTTAGGGAGGGCTGGGTCCGCATGGCCTTGACCTGGGGCCGCCTTGGTCTCTGTCTCCTCTTGTCCACATCCCGGAGAAACTCTTAGGCACTGTCACCACACCTCCCACCCAGGACTCCCAGATGGGGGGTTAAACCCACTGTTACTGGCTTGACTCACTCTTGATTGAAAACAGCTTTTCTTGGAATGATGTGCAGAGAGGGCTCCAGAGCTTGGGAGGAATTTTTAAAAGAGACCTGGGGTCCCCAACCTCTGGGGGATCAAAGCTGGATGTGTTTCTCACACATGGGCCAGTAACCAGTATGTGGCCACTGGTGCAGGGGGGTGGGGAACATTAAAACCGGAAGGGGGTATCCCTGGGCACTTGAAGAAAACCTGGAGGGAGGTACCCTGCCTGTGTCCCCATCAAGAGACAGCCCTGGAGCTGGCCTCAGCCCCCAGGTCACCCCAGGGACCGGGTAGGAACTGGGAGGTCATCCATCCACATGAACGTGGCCCAGAGCCCTCCGCAGAGGGACCACTGCCGGGTTTCTGGCTGGGATTCCCACAGCCACGGCATGTCCCGGGGGGCTGCACCCCACACCAAGCACAGAACCTTCCTCTTCTCTTCGCCAACTAGGGCAGCAGGGGCTTCCCAGGGGTGGAAAGTCAAAAACCAAGGGTGGGGGTGGGGAGCGCCCGGGTTCCTGTCCCAGGTTGAAGGCACGCTGACGGGATTTCTGCTCTTCCTGAAGCCTGCCGGGGCCACCCCTCACCCCAAGCCTCGTCACCACCAGCATTGCCCCGTCTCTGCAGAGGGGACCCGCCCCCTTGAGCCCCGTGGCTGGTCAGACAATCTTCTGGGAGGGCTGTGGCTGAGGGCGTCCTACTGATGACCCTCTTCTGAGCCACGAGGGGCAGAGGAAGGAGAAGCAAAGCGAACCCAGAGATGGTGACACACAGGGAAGCTTCGACCTGAAGGAGGGAAAAAAGCGTGCGAGCTCCACCCCCCCCGCCCCCCCCCCAGCTCCAGTTCCGTGGAGAGAGGCAGCTGGACTCAGAGAGAAACTGCCGCGTGTCCCCCATGGACCCTGCCGCACACGTAAGCCCACACCCGTCCACGCGGTCACGTGCAGCCCTCTAGCACACACCCCCCCACACCCGTCCCGTCGCTCGCACGCCCCGGCACACCACAGGCCCAGACTCACGAGCACACTCACCGTTGGACACGTGGAGCTCAATCCACAGCTTTACCACCTCCTGCTGGAGCCTTTCCAACGAGTGCAAGGCGGCGCGCCTCTCGTTCAAGCCTCGGGTGATTGGGTGGGGGACGGTGGTCAGAGACGAGCTTGGAGCGCGCCCCCCGCCCCCCCTCCACCTCCACCCTCTACCCTGTCCCCTCCCAAGGCTCACTCTGGGACTTGAGGTTGCTCAGGTCCGAACGAAGTCCATCCAGGTTCCGGGAGAGCTCAGAGTCTGACGGGGCCGGGCTGGGGTCAGGGCTGGGAGTCCCCGAGCCCGGCCCCCAGCCTCACGGTCCCTCCCAGCTCTAGGACCCCCGTCCCCACCAGCCTCTCACCCTGAGCTTTCATTCTTGTCTGTTCAGCTTGGATTTCCTCCATGTTCTGTGACACCTGGGCAGCTGGGTGCAGGGGAGGGGGCTCAGTGGTAAGCAGGTCCTCAGGGCCGCCCCTGCCCCCCCCCCTCAGCTCCCCCGCTGGCCCCTTTGTCCTTCTCGCCTCTGTCTTCGGGGTCCCCTGCTCACTTTGCCATTCACGGGTGGCCTAGAGCACTCTGTCCACATGTTAATCCAGGCTCCCCCACCCCCACCCCACTCCTCCTCCTCGACCTGAGCTGACATCACTCACCCCGGGATTTCTGGGCCATCTCGTCCCCTCTGTGTCTTTCCAAGTCCTTGGCAACCTGAGAGACTGGGACCGCAGGAAAGACGATGTGTCCTCAGGAACCAGGAAGGCACGTCCTCAAATCCTTCCCCTCCCTGGCCCCGAGTGCAGGGTCCCCTCACATTTTCATTTTGGGGACAAGGTACCGAGGAAGACGCAGGCAAGAATAGGATGAACACGTGCACCCTCCCCCCCACCCAGAACGCAACGTAAAAGCAGCTGGCGTTTCCTGAAAGCTCACTGGAGGCAGGTCTAAATGCTTCACCAAGTCTCAGCTCGTTTCTGCCTCGATACCCTGAAATGATGCCCACTTTACAGGTGAGGGAACCGAGGCCTGGAGCCATTACTTAACAGCCCATCAGACACCTCGTAGAGCCCCCCGTCTCTCCCAGAGGCTCCGGGTTTTCACCCCAAGGGGAGGGGGCGATGCAGGCTGACCCCCACTTCCCGGCAGGGGATGCTGGAGCGCAGTCCTTCTCCCATGTCCCACAGTGGCCAGTGGCCGAAGCAGGACGAGAGCCCCCCTCCCTGCCTCCTCTCCCCCCCACCCCTCCCCCCTACCGTTCTGGGCAGCGGTTTCTTCCAGCTGTTTCAGATTCTGCACAGCGTCCCAGTCTGGGGAGGAGAGAAGAGGAGGGGCGAAGACGGGTTTTCAGGAGCCCCCGACCACACCCCCCCCACACCTGTCAGCTGGGGAGGGAGGCCTTGGGTATATACCACTTGGGAGGCACAGAAAGGATGGGAGACAGAGACGCTGGACGGGGTGGGGAGCTCTCGGGTGGGGGGGGGGCAGAGGGCCTCGGGAGGGGACCGCTGGGGACAAGGTGGGAGGCACGATGGGGAAATTGGACTCGGAGGGGCGTGACGTCCCAGCATCTGAAAGTGGGGTTCTGGGAGAGAGCACAAGAGAGGGGCCGCATGGGGCTGGGGGTGTCCTCACGCCAAAAGAGAAGCAGGGTCAGCAGCCCGGCCCACAGCATGACGGTCGCCAGCCCCAACAGTGCCATCTGGGTCCCTTGCCGACAGCACCGCCGCCGCCTTCCGGGAAGGTTTGGGAACTCTGCTGGGCGTCGAGGGGGGAGCGCCAAGGGGTGCGGCGTGAGACGGGGCTTGGCTCTGCCTGTCCCCCCGTCACCCACAGCCCCTAAGTCCTGGGAGCCCGTCCAGAGCCCACACTAAAGCCGTGGGTCTCAGTGGACCCCCAGCCTGCTCCGCACACCTTCCCCACATGCCGCCTTCGTGCCCCACCGGTGCCCCCCCGCCCCGACCCCGTCCACTTCTGCGTCTGTGCATCTCTGAATCTGTCCCTCCGGCCGTCCAGCCCTTCTGCCCACACCCCGGTGGTCAGCAAGCCTGACTTGGGGCCAGGGCGCCGTCCAGAAAGGCAGCCCGGGGTGGGGGGCCGGGAGCTGAGACCCTCCCTCCGTGGTCCCCCATCAGGTGGCCGACTGCCACCCAGCTCTCGCCGTGACCCTCTTCCCTTACCCCCTCACGCACCACCTCGAGCTCCAGCCTCATGCCCCGGGAAGCTGGGTCCTCCTTCCCCTTGGACCTCCTGCCCTCACCCTGTGGCTGTCTTCCACCCCGCACCCCTTCTCTAAACCCAGGACGCTGGGTCTGTGTTCTTCCTCCATATCCAAGCCCTTCCCCAGCCTTTTCCCCCGGATGTCAGACCCCCCGGAGCCTCACCACAATCCCTGGGGCCCCCAGGACTCTACCTTGACTCCCCACCGTGGGTCCGGGCCCCCTGCCCTCGCCCTGGCCGTGAGGATTCATCGTGCTGGATTCTACTTGCTCTGAATCCCCGTTCTACTTCCAAATCTATCGGGCTCCCAGCACCCGAGCTGGAGCCGATTTTTTTTGTTGGAGGGCGTTGAGTCAGGGCAGGGAGGGGCCTGCGGCTTCCCCCTCCTGCTTGGCTCTGTGCCCAGAAGGCCAGTCGGGGCTCACCTCCCCCTCACCCCTTGCTGGGCCTTCTTCCCAGAGAGAGACCCAGGAACCCCTCTCCTCTCCTGGGTGGAAGGGAGGAGGCCAGGTGCTCGGTTTTGCCAGGGTCAGCTCCAGAGAGCCCTCTCACCTGAGTAGACATGTTCCTCCATGGCCGCCCTGCTTGGATTCTCCCAGTGACAGGCTGCTCACCACCTCCCAAGGCAGCCCACTTAGCGGGTGTCGTCGCGGCTCTGGCCGGGATCCGGGTTCTGAGGAGCATTAAGGTTAGACGTCAGGCTCTGGTTACGGGCTCAGGACAGCGTCTGGGACTCGAGGAGCTCGGTGACCATTGGCTGATTTCGTTTCGTCCGTGACCAGGAGTCAGCGCGGCATTTCACTGGGAGACACAGGCCTGAGACCAGAGGTGGGCGCCCCAGAGCCGACGCAGGCCGGGTACACGGCAGGTGCCTCATAAATGCAGCGAGTGACCGAACCTCAAAACCAACCGCCTCATCCATAAAACGCCAATAACACCCGCACCACAGGGTGGTGACGTGCCCTTCACGGATGTGTCAGGTGCTTCGATCAAGGGCTGGTCCGTCGCCCCACAAATATCATCAGCTTGCTGCTGTCACCGCCGGTTGCCAACGTGGCTTGGGACTCAACCTTCCCGAGCGTCAGGGTCCCCTCTATAGAATGGGAGGGACGCTCGTACCCAACTCACGAGGTCGAGGTAGGATCAAATGAGATGACAACATAGGTGAGTGTCTCGGCAAGATGCCGTGCGCGCACAGTGGGTCTTCAGATCCTAAACACTTATCAGGCACCTGCTGTGTGTCAGGCCTTGCTGGGCGGTGCAGAAACTCCGTCACCAGACCTCAGCTTCCTCTTCTGCAATGTGCCCAAGGCATCTTTAAAGTATCTTGACTTTTAAAAAAAAAATTGTTTTTAAGTTTATTTGTTTATTTTGAGAGAGGGAGTGAGCAGGGAGGGGCAGAGAGAGAGAGGGAGAGAGGGAGAGAGAGAATCCCCAGCAGGCTCCACACTGCCAGCGCAGAGCCTGACGCGGGGCTCGAGCCCATGAACCGTGAGATCATGACCTGAGCCGAAATCAGGAGTCAGAGGCTTAACCGAGGGAGCCACCCAGGCGCCCCAAAGTCTTTTGAGCACCTATTTTGTGCCAAAGAGGGCGGGTTTGGTTACAGGCTGCCTCTCTTGCCGTAGGACTATGGGCAATATGCTTCCCCTCTCTGAGCCCCGGGGAGGTGGGTGTGGGGAGTGACCAGGCTCTGATTAACGGCAGCTCCCACTGGACCTTGTGCCATCATGGAAGAGGCCAGAGGCGTGACCATCCTGCAGCCAAACGTGCCTGAGCCCAAGCTGGACAGACTGGGGGCTGAGTCCCGGCTTCTCCCAGGACGAGCGACTTAAGTTTGCTCATCTGTCAACGAGGGGTGACCGTTCCAAGCCCACTGGATGAAGCACGATGGGCGTGGCACGCAGCAGGCGCTCGGTTAACCTGCTGGTGGGGAGCTGGGGAAACTGAGGCCCCGAGGAGGTAAGTAATTTGTCCATGCCACACGATGGTAGAACGGGGACTTGAACCCAGGACAGGTGACATCGGAGCCTATTAGCTCAACCACCTGGGGACACGGCCTCCTGATGGGTGTCTGCCAGTGAGTGCCAGGGGGCAGGGTCCTGATGCCGGGCCGTCTTTCTGACTTAGGAGCTCCCAGCCCTGCGGACGGCTTTCCGCGGCCCTCCGGGGTCCACACGATCAGCCCCCGGTGCACCCACCAAGCTCATCTGTTCTGCTCGGTCACACCAGGCGCTGGCTTCAACTGCCCCGACCCAGGACCCCGCGCGCCTGCCGATTCCGTCCACGCTGCCCGCTGCCCACCGCCCGTCTGTCCCTTGAGACCCAGCCCCGAGGCCGCTCCTTCCAAGGAACCTTCAACGTCCCACGTCCCAACACACACGCACACGCACACAGAGGGTCACACGCGCGTGCTCCCACATTCACACGCAGACGCGCGGTCGCACGCCCACCCACTCGCACGTATCTCGCACTCACATGCGCCGCGAACGGCGTCGCTGTCCTGGTCCGCTGGGGCGGGTTGGAGGGGCCGGCGGGGCCGCGGGCGGTGGTGAGGACCTTGGCCTGGGGAGACAGTTTTCTTCTGAAAGCAGGCCCACCCACGGCTTCTATTTTCACAGGCCTAATTATGGGCTTGCCACCTGGTTACCCATATTACACGCATGGCCTCCCCTGATGCTCCCCACAACCGGGTAAAGTCCGTCCTATTATTATCTCCATTACGCAGGTGAGCAAAACTGAGGTCCAGAGAGGCTAAGCCACATTCCCAGAGTGCTGGAGGAAGTAAGTGGGAGAGTGAGGACTGAACTAATGTGGCTAAGTCACTATACCACTGTGGCAGGGAAGAGGGAAGGGAAGGAGAGAGAAAGAGAGAGGGATGAGCAGGGAGGGAGCCCGGAGGTAGGGAAGAAACAGAAAGATCCATGAGATAACATTCTGGTCAAATAGTAACAATTTTGTTACAGGGTTGAATTTAATACCAGTGTGTGCCAGGGAGTTGGGGGGGGGGGGACAGTTCCCGGTGTCCCAGGTGCATCGAAACATTTAACGTTCGCACGTTATGAGGTAGATGCTTTTGTTCCTCATGCTGCCTTCTTGGTGAAGAATGTGGAGCGCAGAGAGGTTAGGTAACTTGTCCAAAGTTGCACAGCTCATAAATGGCAACGCCGGGATTCGAACCCAGGCAGCACAGGCCCCAAGTCAGCAGCCCTAACCCCCGTGCCCCTAGCCTTGGATTTATGGGGACTTCTTTTTTTTTTTTTTTTTTTTAATTTTATTTTTGAGAGACAGAGAGAGACAGCAGGAGTGGGGGAGGAGCAGAGAGAGAGGGAGACACAGAATCGGAAGCAGGCTCCAGGCTCTGAGCCGTCAGCACAGAGCCCGACGTGGGGCTCGAACCCACGAACCGTGGGATCATGACCTGAGCCAAAGTCGGACGCCTGACCGACTGAGCCACTCGGGCGCCCCTTATGGGGACTTCTTCACACCTCACACCCTGCCCTTCCTCCCTAAACTGTGTCCTCTGATCCTTAACCCTCTTCCCATTCTTGATTGGGGGACACCCCAGGCCAATCCCCACGCCGGGAAGGACTGCCTCCATCCTCCAGGCTTGATGTGCTGCCTCTCACTCTGGAAGATGCCCATTTGGGCCCCTGTGTCCCACTTTCCCACCGGGACCGATCTGGGCCAACCACCAGATGGGGAGGGGCCTGGCCCGACATGTCCCCTGGACTTTGCACTCCAGGACAGCAGGCACGAAGCTGCCTCGTGTGTCACACTGTGTTTCCAGCATGAAGGGGTGGCCCTCAGGACATGTGTACTGCCTGAATGACTGTTGGGTTGAGGCTGTTCATTCAGGGCCCCAACTGTCCCTCTCAACTCGATCTGGGCTACTTGCGGGGACTTGAACCCACGGCGTGTTTTGCCAAGGGACAGGGGATGGTCATTGTAGGGAAGAGAGTGGTCAGGTGGGCACCAGAGAGAGGTCACTGGGGCTGCTGGGTGGACAGAAGGCAGCAGGAGCCCTGGCGGCGGGGGGGAGGGGACCCTGAGTGTCATCATGGGGCCAGGTGGGGGTGGGGACACTGGGGAGCTGTCACCAGGTCCAGGCACCAGAGGAGGTGTCTGGGGCAGTGGCTGTGGGAATGACTGGACGGGTTTGAGAAGAGACGGGCTTTGGTGATGGGTGAGGATGGGGGGGGGCACCCGGAAGATGCTGTAACAATTGACTGGGTCTCAGTCGCAGCCTCTGGTAGACAGCGGGGCTGTCCTAGTGCTGAGGACCCAGGAAGGAAGAGGAGAAAGTTTGGGAAGAAGCCTCGCTGGGTGGCAGTGAAGACACAGGACGGGGTAGGAGGTGTCGAATCGAGGATGGGGTGGGGATGCTGTTTGGTGTTCCTGAGCCTCTGAGAGCTCTGCAGCCCAGGTGCCCAGCCCCCGTCCACACTGGTGCCCACCGTCTCCACCGTGTCCTTCCGGAAGGTTCCACGGCTCCTGCGAAGCTGGGTCCCTGCCAAGACTGAACTTAGACAAGAGGATGCTTTGGGGGTGACATCTCAACCCCCCTACTCGGGGCTGCAGTAAACCCTGTCACGCGACTGACCCCTCCCTCTTCCCTTCTGCGGTATCGACCCAGGGCTCTGTTCACTTCAAGGGAAAAACAGGAAACCGTGCGGATGTGGGCCCCCATCGAGGGTGTCAGTTCTTCTTTCACGTTTGGGATCCTTGAGCCCGGGGCAGCACCCCCCCCCCCCGGCCCCCCCGCCCCGGCCCCCGCTCGGCACAGACCTGGATCTGGACACAGGAGGAACGAGTCAGGAGTCCTGCAACAACCACAAACGATCCCCGGGCGGGTCCCCACCCTGGCCCCGGCCCGACGCTATTCAACCCCAACTCACCCCCAAGGGTGTTCGGATCCCCAACCCTCTCACCTGTGCTCTGTGCGGAGAGGAGCCTCAACCTCTAAATTTAGAACCTCAGCACCTAGAACAGGGCCCCGCGTTCAATTCCAATGTGATGAAGGAACATCCACGCTGACCCCAACCCCACCCTGGTGGCCCAGCCCCCGGCTCTCCCCACCTGATCGGTCCCTCCTGGTGTTGCAAAAGGGAGAAAGGAAGGAGGGGGGTGTGTGGGGCGGGAGGGAAGTGGGTGTGTCAAATCCCAAAGGGCTTGCAGGAGGAGGTGGCTTTAAAACCGGGTTTCTCATTCTCAGTTCTGTTGGCACTGGGGCCGGATGATTCCTTGTTGTTGGGGTGGGGGGCTGTCCTGTAGATTGCAGGGTCTTTGGCAACATCCCTGGCCTCTAGCCTCTGGCTCCCAGTAGTAGTCCCCCCTTCTACCTAGTCACGACGCCAAAAATGTCTCCAGACATCGCCGAATGCCTCCTGAGGGGCAGAATCACCCCCAGTTGAGAACCACTGCTTTGAAGCATGATTGACAGACAAAGAGAAGGTGCTGGCTTCGGGCTTGAACACACTTTCTCTGTGTCTCTGTCTGTCCCTCCATCTGCTGGGGACAGATGCCCTCTCCTCTTTCATTTACTCAACGACCATTATTTGGGCACCTACTGGGTGCCAGGTTCGGAGAACAAAGGCCCAGGTCTTGCGAGGGAGGTTTCGGTTTTTCATCGTGATAAAATATACAGAACACAAAATTTACTATTTGAATCATTTGCAGTGGCGTTAAGCACACTCACACCACGCCACCATCCCCACCCTCAGTCTCTAGAACTTTCCATCTTGCCAAACTGAGACTCCGTTCCCCCCGAAACACCAACTCCCCCTGCCCTCGCCCAGCCCCTGGCTCCCTCCATCTACTTCCTGTCTCTGGGGAGGGGACTCCTCTAGGGACAGCATCTAACTGGGATCCTACAGGGTCTGTGCTTTGGTGTTTAGTCCCTTTCACTTAGCATGACACCCTCACGGTTCATCCACGATGCAGCATAAAAACAAAGTTTAAAATTCACAAATCCGCAGGACAGTCTTAGGTGCTGGAAAAGCAGGGTTAGGGTCCTGGGGGTGGGGGTGGGGGTGGGGGAGAAGGGCTAGTTTAGACTGGAGGGTTCTGAACCTGAGGGACGTGAAGTGAGGTCTGAGCAGACCCCTCGGGAAGGTTGGATTTTCCTTCTGTTTCACGCTGGCTGCCGGAGGCCCTCTCCCTGGGGCTTTGCAACCTCAAAGCCTTGAGTGGTGCCCCGCCCCCTCCCAGACAGGGGAAATCCATTCATTCTTTTCCCAGAGGCCCCAGGTCCCAGAGAGGGGCTTGCCCTGCGGCCTCCCCCAGCTTGGCCACGTGGCTTCCCCAGCCTCTGCCCTCTTTGGGTCTCAGTTTCCCCGACGGAGGAGGGCACCGGGCTTTGGGTCCTGGCCAGCGCCTCCCTGACAGGCACAGAAGCCTTATCACCTCCTGCAGGAAGGACCCCAGTGCTCTGGGAAAGTGGAACTTCTGCAGGGCCGGGGTCGGGCTCACGTGAGAGCCGAGTGAGGGGTACAGGTGGGGGCCCCCAACACGCAGGCACACAGAGGCACGCACACACACGGGGTGACGTGACACCGTCATCGGCAGAGGCACGCAGGTACAGAGAGACCGACGGTCCCTACGCGGCTTAACCGCAGACACACACACGCACGACGAATCACACGAGGGATACGCACAGGTAGGCGCGGGGGTAGGGACACACACACAGGTCCAAATGTGGCCACCCCCCACACACAAGATAGACACACCCCGTGTGCACAGAGACACAAGTAACACAATCACACGTACTAACCCAACCCCCCCCCCCCCCCCCGCCCATAAACGCACGGAAACATACAAAGAAACGAAACACACAGACACGCGGAGAACATTCCAGGCCCACGGACACGTGCAGACAGACACAGACACACACGGTCACACAGACACGCACGAGGGTCCCCTTTGCTGTCCCAGAGGAGAGGCTGATGGGGAAAAAGTAGCTCTCTTCCACTGACAGCCCTCCAATTGCCTCTGCTCTCCTCCCCGCCCCCATGCACGCCTCAGTTTCCCCTCAGGGACTTCTCTCTGCCTCTCCAAGACCCCCCCTCGGCTTCAATCACCCCCAACCCCTGCTGATTTCCTACTCTCCATCTTCTGCCCAGCCCCCTCCCCTGACCTTCATTTGGTCCTGAACTCACTCCTCACTCACTCACAGGCTCAGAGGCCCACCCCCCCACCCCCACCAACAGCCCTCTGCACTCCCCTCTCCCCAGCCCTGAGCTCCTACATTAAATGGGCACCTTCCCCAGAACTGGGAGCTGAGGGGCCAGAGGGCTAGCCCCAGCTCCCAGCCACACACCCCCCCCCACTCACTCACACCTCTCCTCACTCCCCTCCCCGACCCCCACCCCTGCAGTGACCTTGTCAACAGGAAGAGGGAAGGCCAGTGTGGGACAGGAGGAGGCTGGCTTTGCATTTTCATCTTCCCGGAGCCTGGGGGTCTGGAGCCCAGCTGGTTTTGTTCCTGTGTGTTGCTGGGATGGAGGGAGAGGTTGGAGGGGGGCTCAGGATGAGGGGGTCCAGAAGTCGGCTTGTCCACATCCTTTCTTCAGAAGGCCTTCCGGGGCCCACTGCCCACACCTCCACACCACCCCCCAGATCCCAGCACATCCCCAGTGACTGGGGGGCTGAGCCAGCTCATCCCAGGAATCCTGAGAACGTTCCAGGCCCGCACTGGGAGATTCGGGGATTTCTTTCTGACAATGTCCACGGTTCTTTGAGGGGACAGGGTACCGTGTGGGGACCAGGCTGAAGGATGGCTCCCAGCCCCTCAGGGATTCAGAAATCCAGGCCCCAGGTCCCCGGCCCCTCAGAGACCCAGGCCCCCAGCCCCGTAAGACTTTGGTCTAGATCGCGTGCTTTTTCTACTCCATGGGGCCCTTTTGCGCGAAGGTTCTCCAGCTGGGCCAGCACAGGAGGCGTGTGCCCCCTGCTGGACACATCTGGTCACTGCCCCCCACTGGGCGACGCCCCACTGGGTGGGCAGAGGAGAGGGCGGGTGGCGTTCCAGCTCCACCCCCTTTCCCTGCGGGCTGACTGTATCCTCTCGGGCCTCAGTTTCCCCATCTGTAAAGTGAGAATAAGCACAATCCTCCTACCTAGGGCCTCGTGCTCCTAAAGCTTTCCAGAGGTGCCGAACGGAGACAAGCCCCTGGGGAGCGCTGGAGTCTCTCCCGTGAGTAACCCCTACACTCCGCCCCGCGAAGGCCCCTCCAAGGAAGCCCTGGCCCCCCGCAGCCAGCCGGGCCCCGTGTGGCTGGCGCCTTCTCCTGCACGGTTGCCCCTTTGCTGCAGCCACACCCACAGGCCTCTCTGGGTTTCGAGGCCTCTCCGTGGCCCTTCTTCGTCCTCCAGGTGTCTGCTCTCTGAGGGAGGTGACAGTCACCCCTGGGACGGTCTCTATGACCTACCTCCTGTGCGTGGACGCGTGTGGTTTGCTTGTTACCGGTACCCGCCGGAAGGTGCGCTCCGGGAGTGGGAGGGGCGGGACTGTCACCGCGTCCCCAGCCCAGGGCTCGGCACACGGCACACGGCACGCCGTAGCTGCGCCACGAGGCGTCACAGCCGTGTGAGCGTCCTAGGACTGCGCTAAGGACGTACCAGCCGCTGACTCGGCGGCTTTAAACAACATACGTTTATTATCTCACAGAGCTGGAGGTCAGAAGTCCCAGCACAGGCCTCACTGGGCTAAAATCAAGGCGTCCACAGGGCTATGCTCCTGGAAAGTCAAGGGGAGAATCGGTTTCCTTGCTGTTCTTTCCGCTTCTACAGGGGCCCACACCTCTTGGCTTGTGGCCCCTTCCTCCAGCTTTGAAGTCGGCAGCGGAGAACTTCTGATCCCTCTCCGACTCTGCTGCTGTTGTCACATCTCCTTCTCAGACTCTGATCTTCCTGCCTCCCTCTTCGGTTTTTAACTTATTTATTTATTTTGAGAGAGAGAGAGAGAGAGAGAGAGAGAGAGAGAGAGAGAGGATCCCAAGCAGGCTCTGCACCCTCAGCACAGAGCCCGACGCGGGGCTCAAACTCACGAACAGTGAGATCCTGACCTGAACCGAAATCGAGAGCCAGATGCTTAACCCACTGAGCCACCCAGGCGCCCCCTGATTGCCTCCCTCTTATAAGGACTCGTGATGCTGACATTGGGGCCACCCGGATAACCCGGGACGGCCTCCACCTCCAGATCCTTGATTTAACGAATCCCGTCTGTAAAGTCCCTTTCACCACGTAAGGCTACATCATCACAGGTTCCGGGGACTGGGACAGGGACACCTTTTGGGAACCATTATTCCGCTGATCGCAATGCTCGAAAATGCTGTTGCTGTTGCCAACCCATTTGGTGGATGCAAAACCAGAGGCACAGAGAGGAAAGTCACGTGCCCAGCCTCACCCAGTGTGTAAGTGGCAAGCACACCCACCGGAGCCATCTGTGTCTGGAGCCAGGGATGGGATGGGGGTGGGGGTTTGAGGCAGATGGGGAAGGGGCTAGCAAGGGCTTGAGGAGAGTGTGTCCTGCCCTACCTTGGGGGACTCCCCAGACACCTCAGCCAACCTGGTAAGAGGCCTTGGGATCTCAGGGGGTTTCCTAGGATGGGGGGAGGGCAGTCGGAGTTTGGAAAGAACAGTCTATTCTGTCACAAGGTCACTTCCTGGGAAAGTGGGGTGATGGGTGGGGCCGGTCTGTCCAGGAAACCTGGCTGGGCTTCAGGGTCACCACTGACTTGCTGACTCAGCCCCAGAAAGTGGTCGTGTGTCACTCAGGGGGCTGGTGGTGGGGACACCCACTGGGAAAGGGTCAGGGGGCACCGGGGGTACCCTCCATGCCCCTACTCCCTGCTTCCCAGCACAAGACCCCTTGGCCCCTCGGAGACAGACCCTCATTTCTCTCCCCTGCCTTCCCCCCTCAGACTAGAAGTGCAGGGTATGGGGGGTTGCTTTTCCAGAACCTTCCACCTGCAACCTTATCCTGGGAGCATACCATGTTCTATCCCTCCTCATCACCTTCCCCTCTGCCCACCAG